TTGTCATATCTGTTGTTCAGTAATAGAGCTGTGCACAGTGTCTGATATTTTAGAAAAATCGTCTCTGTTGTTCATACTTATATACTTTAACGTTTCTTTACACTATTCATTTTCCTTTATCTTACATTCGTCACACAGTGAATATACTCTAGTACAGATTTTTCTTGTTTAATTTATATGTTAAGTGACATATATCTTTTCCATAGCATTTGATACCTACAATTTCATATTGTATTCATACTAACATAGTGAGAGGTATTTCAACACCAAGTTCTTTTTTATTTTTTATGCATGTTCCTGGTTCGAAACATAAATCCATTGAACCTCCTCTATATTACTGAACGGGATGAGCTTTCCTTTCATTCTGGTCAATTTCGAATACTAGTAGCTTTGTCAGGAGCCGAGAGACATGAGCCCACAGAGAACTTTTCTAAGTGAAGTTGGGATTGTCTTTTATTGATTTCAAATTTTTCATACTAATTTCACGATTTCACTTTAAAAATTTAACGAATTATGTAATGGATTTACGAAAAATGTCCTCCTAAGATTTCTTTTGGTCGTCGTCAATCTAGTCTCACACTTTTGATTGGAGTAATTCAAGTGAATCATGCACATTAAGAAACAAATAGTATATGTCAACTTTACCCACTAAATGTGCTGCTCGTCTTACGCGGGCTAAGAGGGTTATTGAATTAGGGATTTAAAAAAAAGTTTTATTTCGTATCTCTGAAAGTTTTTCGCCTTAAACAGCAAAATATGTTGGGGAAAATAACATTTTTTCTTGAAGTTTCACTTTAAAATTTCAATTTCTTACACCTCAGACACGGACATGTAGATCTTTTTTGAAAATGGGGGGGGGGGGGTAGAAAAAGTAATTGACATTCAGAAAATTGTTGAAAAACAAAAATACATATATTTTAAAGATGAGTTTGATTAGCCCTCCAAAAGAACAATTTCAAAATCGAAAAAATGTACCCCGTGTGTATAGGGAGTGGGGGTGATCGAAGCCCCCTCCAACCCCCAGCCCCATATCGAAATGTTATTTATTTATTTTATTTTTTTTTTACATAGGGTGGGGATAGAATCTCACTCTCGTTTTAAAACAATTACGTACGAGGAGTTTGCCATATTTGCAACAAAAAGTGAAGGGAGGAGGGAATCGGCCTTGAAATGAAAATTTATACAAAAGACTAGCTATTCTAAAAAATAAAAAAAAAAACCTTTCCTCCCTCCCCAGATTATATGAGTCTGCACCTTATACGCTAGAATCCATGAATCAAATGATTCATTTTGATCTTGATATGGGATCTCTATGTGTTTTTACATCATTTTTCGAAAAAAGTTAAAAAGTCGAACCTGTCTGATAGAGTTATTAATTTGAAGAAAAAGAAGGTATGCTTAGAGTCCATTCCACCACCCTGATCTAAGCTATTAAACAGAATTATTATACCTCTACTGATTTTTCCCTATATAACATTAGATCGTTAGATGTGACTAATTCCCTAGAAATCGTTATGAATGTACTAATCCCCGTCCGTTAATCAAGTGAGCTAATCCCTGCATCAAATGCTAATTCCCGGTTACCCGTAATCCTCTAGGTTTTACTTTTACATAGGTATATGTGAATGAACTAATCCCCGTGTGTTAGTTCAGTGAGCAAATCCCTGCTATGAAATCACGCTATCTGAATCCTCTAAATTTTACGTTTGTATCGGTATAATAAAACAGTTAAAAGTTTATCATTGCAGGAGTTAGCAAGATTCCAGTTCCCCTCGACCAGGGCTATTTCCCTCGGCTTCGCCTCGGGAAATAGTCCTGGCCTTGGGGAACTTGAATCTTGCTAACTCCCTCAATGATATACTTTTATTAACTGTATACTGAACGAAGGGTAGAATTCTCACGAAATTTTTGTTTGGTGGATTATAAAAATCCATACTTTGATTTTAGTGTCACTGCAGATAAAACAGTTACTTTGAGATTTACCTTGGTCCTGAAATTTTAAAACTAAAATCATTTCTTTTATTACTTACAAAAGGAAATTGCGAATGAAAAGCATAGGATGAACAGACAGGATTCTCGGTGGTATCTTGGATCTTGAGAATAAAATCTTATTTAAAACTAGGGGAATGGTAATTGTTTTAAAGCAGATGATGATTTTTCCAAGTAAGTAAGGATATAGTAAAACATTTTACAAGAATTAGACAAGATTGTGTGAAGCTAGAGTTGACAAGTAACCTATCACACGGTGTAATGGACAGAGATAATGAGGTCCGTGTTCCTCGTTTCTGGAAAAAAAAAATCTTAATCATCTTTATCAATATCCGGAAATCTATCGATCTAGCCTCAGCTAAGTGAAATCCAAAATGACATTGAGCAGATTATTAATTAATAATACCTCGCCATGAGAAAAGGAAAGCTATGTAAATCCTTGATCAGAGTCATGCCGATTGGTTGGTATTAAATATGTCGTCTAAGGATATTACCAGTTAATGGTCTAAAGCAGAACGGAATTTTCACGATGGGATCCAAAAAGAAGTTACAATTGCTAACTTGACAACCAAGTTAACAAGTCAGTCATACGTCAGCTGATAAAAGGTTAAATCGATGTATAGGCCTATATCGTTTCTTTGTTATGACTTTATATTAAATATTATATTTATTTATTATGATATTTATAAATAATAGGATTATATCCTACTGCTTTTGATCCTGTTACTATTTATCCTATTTGGTGATATTGACAGCCTTTCTATACTGGTTGGAATCTCAGAAATAATTCCCCGTTATGACTTTCGTCTCACTATCTTAACATAGAATGCGGAAGGTAGAGAGGATAGATTATGCGATGTTTGTAATACACGTGAAATAGAAGACGAATTCCATTTCATTCTTCAATGCCCTAGATATCTAAATTTAAGAAAAAAATATATAAATGAATATTATTACAAATCGCCAAGTACTTTTAAATTAATCCAATTGTTGGGTACCAACCGCATATCTACTTTAGTTGGTTTAGGGAAATATATTCATTATGCTCTAATATTACGTAACGAAGATCAATCAGGTTAACCTAATTTCTATCTATGTAAGGTTTATATTTTCAGATGTCTGTACATTAAAACATCATTGCTATATATTGTATTATAACTTTGAATTATGTATTGTGCTGCTTATTGTATTGTACTTAATTTGTTCAATATATATTATTGTATATTATAAATGAGTGGAACTGTGGGACTGAGGAACACTTGACCAGAGGTTTCACGCCCCAATTTAGGCTCACTGAGAGTCTTAAATTTTGTGATATATGTTATTATATGTTATTTTTGTAAACTGATGGGCTGTATTGCCCAAAGTTATATCCTGAATAAACTAATATGGTTTTCATTCACATCCTGTGTATACTGTTTTTTCATGCAGCAACATATTCACGTTTCAGATTCGTACACTGTAGAGAGAAATCACTAAGGAGTCTAAGTTTAATGAATGATAAAACATAGGCTTGTGATTTGGATAATTTAGAATTATTCTATTTCTTATATAAATATTAGTAATATCGGATACTAAATATAGACATATAAATATATAAATTAAATATATTTCATCTCAAAGTCATGATCATGGTACATCTGTGTGCCTCAACAATTTGCTTTATGCATGTATGTGATTTTGTTTTAAGTAATCTGCAATTCTCGTATTTTTCTATCTTACAATGTAGTTTACAATATTGTCTTAATATTAAATAATTATGATGCACAATTACTTTATTTTTGCGTTATTAATTTTATGACAAATATTCAATTTAATAGTAAAACTAAATTTAATGAATTTAATGACTAAATCATTTTTAGGATTAGAACTGTGAAGTGATGTAGTCCTTTTTGATGTTTGTTATCCTCCTTTGACAGATTTATGAACTTTTGGTATGGTCCACAGAATTGGCTTAAGCAGAAGTCAAAATAGTTCAGTATAGTTATTTTCCTTCTCTGTTGCATTAAGACTTTTTCATTTTGTCCATTTTTTTTCTATAATTGTTTTCTCTTATTTGTGTGTAAACGTTGTAAAAGGTGCTCTCAATAACACAATACAATAATATATTGAGAAATCTATCAAAATATTTAATACATGTAATATCATATAAAAGCCATCTGGATTAAACTAACTTATGTAAAGCTATAAAGACTGTTACTATTATAAAAGATCTAGATAATATTTCGCACCCATTCTGTGACAGAAGTTGAGAAATGTGTGACGAGATGACCTTGAAAAATTCAAGAATGTATACACTTGTATTAATTTTTTTTAGCTTCATACACATTCTGTACGTGGTGTGTGAATTTTAGGAACTTGGTAATTCAACAAAAAATACTCCTGTGTTTCTTCTTAAGTTGTATGCTATCATTAAACAGAATTAGAAAAGTTTTTTTTTATTTAATCAGAGATGGAATTCAAAATACTTTTGGTTAGCTCCAATTTGCAACATTGCTATCGAACGTTTTTATCACTCATGACCTGCCAGCAGAAAATTTAAGAATTCATTTAGAACGCTCTACTTTGATAGCATGAATTACATGAAATGAAGCCTTTATATCCCTTGTTTTATCTACTACCGATGATACCAACTGTGAAGCATTTTTACCAGCAGATACAAGCAGGTGCGAGTAGAATAAAAACAAATAATCAACAATTTAGCATGAAAGCCAAATAATCATGAGATATAAGTTGTACCCTAACACCTATATTGATCGAAACCATTCATCCAGCAAAGGTAGCCACTCAAACGATGAACAGAGCCTCAATTATCTATTAATGCTAGCTACTTCTTCATTTAATGAACCTTCTTAGATGCTGAATGTGTAGCCTATACGTCCACTTACTAGCTCAGCCAATTGAATCACTCAGTAGTATCACGTGACATCCGAAAGAATAACTTTTTTTTCAGAAACATTCAATTTAATGCTTTGCTTCTGCTATCAGTATTTCAGTCAATATTGTTCTATCATATGAAAAAAAAGTTTATTTCTATTATATGCAGTCTAATCTAAGGGAAAATTGAACATTTGTGTGTGTAGAGAATGTCCTCTAGAATTTAAGAAGAAAGAACTTTTTTTATCATCTAGGAATGAAATACTAAGACCTGAAGAAATAACGGATTTTTGTGATTTACAATGGCATCATACAAGATTCTGGACAACAACTCCTCTACCTGGGCTACAACAAGCATCGTAAGTATTGCTTTTATCCTTCAACTTCACGAAAAGTTTCTCATATAAATAAATTTTCAGGGGAAAAAAAACAACAACCGGAAATCAGCGTGTGATTTGAACCTGATGTAGTTCCTGGAAGTCGGTAAGTTCTGGTCAAAATTCTCCTATTAATATCAGAAATGTAAAGATTTTGTTATGTTTGCTGTATCTGACAGAGCAAATTGTGTTTTATGATAGTACATCTGCTCTGAATCTTTTTTTCTTTTTGTGTGTGCGAATGAAGATTCAAATGTTGTCGTATGAAAATTACATGTACCATATTTTGTAAAAACGGAATTCGACTGATGTACACGTAGATTTGAAAAATAAACAACACATATATATCTTATACTAGGGGCATGATATTGGTTTTTAACAAAATGACTTCCGAAGTCCCCCTCTTTTCCCTTTCAATAACTGAAATAAGATCTTATGAACATTATCCTATACAGTAAAACATATTAAATTGTCAATTTTGCACATGTTCATAAATTGCTTGTTAGTAAAACATAGGAATGATATATATTTATCACCTATTTATACATGCCAATAAAGTTTTATTTTAAAAAAAGGGGGGGGGGGTAAGTTTACATTCTAAAATCCGAATATGCTCATTACCCCGAGAAAGAAATATCATTGGGAAATGTTTAATTAATCAAATTGTGTATAGCATACCGCATTTAGTAACTGGTGTTTTTTTTAATTGATTAAGCAGCTAGAATTATGTTATATTGTAAAGTGTCCACTGATTGATAGAAATCGGTTTCTTACGCTTCCAACTTACATCTCACATTTGAGAGAGAGAGAGAGAGAGAGAGAAGACATCTTTGAAGTAACCTTCTGAATAAGATTATTATTAATTAAAAGATATTTCGGTAGAAAGTTACAATAATCTTTCATTGAATATTTTCTTTTAATTACAAAAAAAACTGACAAATGATATGGCAAAGAGACTTTTTTATTTGGGGTTTGAGTAATCGTCTATTCGTTAGAACCAATCTCGCTCGGACTTCTTCCTTAATAAAATTTTAGTCAAAAATACAGACCCAATTTCCGAGAATCAGTTGATGTAATAGTTTATAGGGCTTCTATTTTTGTATAGAATTTTTTTTATCTTCGATAATAATAAACTTGCAACCATAAAATTAGATACTGTCTTGCCATACAAAGGGAATGACTATCAACATTAATTGGCAAATTTATTACATAATAATGCATTATCAAAAAATTATCAGGAAAGTTATATAATTTACCATAAACACTGCGATCCACTTTCAAAACAATGATCAGTCAAAATATAGATACCTGCAGACATAAAAGGGAAAAATCCCCAATGTGATTTTCCTCTCAAATTAACGTTTTCTGATAAAGATGTGAAATGTCATGGATAACTATGAGAAATCAATGATAGAAACCTGTAGGGACGGCGTTCAATATTTTCCGAACCATTTTTGATAAAGTTTCGTTGGATCATGGTTCTTTCCCATGTAAATTTTTATTTATGGAGAGAGAGGAAGGGAGAGAGAGAGAGAATTAAAGAAAGATACCAAACGTCAAGAGAAGAGTTGTAAGGAAACATTTTATACGTATCACGTCAAAATTTTTTCTGGCTCTTGTGATGATAAAACTTATATATCCGCAACTCTTTAAGTAAGTATAAAGCTACTGACATTAGTTTGAAATTAACAGAAAGGCCATTTAATCATGAAAATAAACATGACCCCCCCCCCCCCCCCAAAAAAAAAAAAAAAATCACAGGCCTTTTTTTATTGTTGATGAAGACATATAACAGAATTATCCTGACATTTCAGTTCTTAAAAACGGTTAATTAGTCTTTAAAAGTAAACCATGATTATGAAAGAGATATTGTTATCAATGCGATTGAAAACAGTCCCCTACTTTCAAATAAATCTAGACCGGTCACGGTAGCCTAGTGGTAGGGCGTTCGCTTCGTGATCGGGATTCCCAGGTTCGATTCTCGTTCGCCGCGCTGCGTCTAACCTGAGATGTAAAACACAGGTAGTGACTGTTCCTTCGCCAAGCGCCCGGCATTAGAAGTGAAAGTCAGGGGTCTTTCTGATGAGACCTTAAAAATCGAAGCCCCATGTCACGGTAGGCGTTGGCACCCTTCGATTGAAACCCTCACTGCTCAATGGCTCTGAGTCCCGAGTACAGGTCTAAATTTGGAGCCCTTCGCCGGTACTATATGAGTGAACAAATCTCGAATGGGACGTAAAACCTCCATGCCCCCCGCCCCTGGCTGGAAGGCTATTGAGTACACAGTACTTGAATTAAAATTTTCATTTATCTATCAAAATTCACAAATGCACACAATATTATGCCAATAGAAAGATTTAATGAATATATACATGCTCCAAAATTCGAAGAAAATCTTATATATGACCTGAAAGATATATCGACGTATAAAATGGCATTTTAAAATCAAAACATAATATTTACAGATCTAACCTAAAATTGTTCACTCAAGCGAATATATCCAATTCTTTAATTTATGAAATTGACGTTGATTGATTGTTGCTTTACCTCCCAATCGAGAATTTTTTACTCATATAGAGACGCCACCATTTACCGGTGAAGGGCTTCAAATTTATACCTATACTCGGCACTCGAAGCCATTGAGCAGTGAGGGTTCTTCATCATGCCAACACCTACTGACCTTGGTTTTTAAGGTCTCATCCGAAAGATCCGTGACTTTCTCCTTTAGTTCCAGGCGCTTGACGAAAGAACAGTCACTATCTTGTTTACGTCTTAGGTTTGATGCGGCACGCGACCGAGAATCAAACCCGGGCCTCCCGATCACGAAGTGAGTGCCCTACCAGTTGGCTTAGCGCCACTACCGCGACTAGTCTCTGAAAATGGAAATTGTCCACCTAAGAAATTTAGAAAATAAGGAAGTATTATATATATATTCCATGTAGGGAGGGTAGCATTGAAAATTAGACCATTGAATGTTTTATACAAATACATAAAACGGTGAACCCTATGCGCATAAAATCAGCGCAGTCAATCACCCGTCGTCTATTAATGTTGAATGTTGCTTTGTTCTATCAAACTGGAGGCCTTAGTTTTATCATTCAGAGGGTAATAGGTTTAACTTATGTTTCTCGACGAATCTAATTCAAATAATGAATATTAATTTCATTGTAATATCTGGAAATATTGCATGTTAAACCTACAAACTATACAAATCTGTGAGCAAGGATCCCTGGAAATTCCAGAGGTGGGGTCAGATGGCTAGGAGGAGTGTCCTAATTGTCCATTAAAAATCAACAGATTTTAATGGAAGGTTTTTCTTCTTCCTAACTAATAAGTTTTACACAGGATCTTTTCCCCTAGTTACTTTGGAGAATTGCTCCAACTATTGGGGGTTTCCGTTTTCTTTTACCGGAGAGATTTACAATGCACTAATGAAAGTAATGTATCGTCATTTCATTTATAATGTTAAATCTTTTTTTTTCTTGCAAACTGTTTACAGTTCATGGTGAAAATACTAAGGAATGTTATCATTTAAGTCTATCCAGCACGTTATCTGCAAATATTTTGATTTTTTTTGTCATGATGTCATCGATCTCTAATAAACATCGCTTCTACTTCATCTGTAAACAAGTCTCCCCTTGCAGGTTCCGTGGCGAAGATGGCACAGTCTCATATAAATATCCATGTTATCATCACATATATACGATATATAATTCACTCCGTGTCAGTCATAGAATTCTCTGAAAGCTTCTAGACAGGATGTTGTGGGGTTATCTCCGGAGACAGTAGTCTTCATTTATATCTTGTATAAAAATTGACGAGACTTTTTTACCCCCATAAAAATGTAAACATCTGAAGCGTGAATTCGGAAACTTTAATACGGATGAGAGAGAGAGAGAAGGGGGGAGAGAGATGATAAAACATATATATTTATGCAGCTATATGCAGTATATAAATTAATGTCGTTTGGAATATTTTCTACATATTTAAATACAATAAATTTCTCCGCACACTTTTCTTGCGTAAAATTTTTCTTTTTGGTGTAGAATTCATTTTCTGTTTCATTTATGGGTGAATTTATTTTCTTTTTTTTTTCTTCTGCATCTATTCAAGAATCGAATCCTAGAAAATGAAGATGTTATTCTGAAACTCAGTTGCCTTGAGCATAATTGAGTTGTATTGATATTGTTAACAAATAAGATGAAATGTCCTAGAGTGATAAATAATTTGCAATAGACAGACTCCAAAAGTAAAATTTTGAAAAAGAAAAAAAAAATGTATAAATGAAAAACTTAATAATCATTAGAAATTACAGTGTAGACCGCATCTGTAAAACGAAAAAGGTGGCGATAACGAACAGTGATCGATCTTAAATAATTTAAACAATACAAATTATGAACGGGACAAAAAACATGTACCCTTAAAACATCAGATGTTGGATTACTTGCCTAGAAGTAAGTATCCCCTGTCAACCAGTAGAACCAGAAGAGCTCTGTATTGGTCGGGTAAACGGAATTATCTGTATTCAAAATTAGTATTAAAACAATGGCCTACAGTTGGTATAAAACATGTCCGTCAATATTAGACCCATTTGAAAACGAGGTCATTTAACGACTGTAGAATATTCGAAAGTTTTGTAACATTAATTCTTTTGTCAGTAGCTCCGTTTAAAAATTGATCGTACTCAGAGCATGCTCTTGCATATCGAAACAACTGGGAGATATGAATACCATATGTAGATAATAGTGGAATGATACTACATAAATAAGGGAATATGACGATGGAAAAGCTGAATTAATCGCCTCTGTCATATAGTGTAGTTGCTCATTAACGTAATTATACAGTCATATAACATGCAAATATATAATAATTGTAGTAGATGAAGTGGTGCCTATTATTTCATGTTAATCACCTAGATCTATCAATTCGACATTCTAATGAAAATAGATATTGTTAATTGAGAAAGTGTGATCGATTTACCT